TCCTGACAAATTTTCTTGTATTTCTGTATTTTTTTTAAAAAATACATATTTTTTTTAATTTTTAGACAATTAGAGCTAAGTGACTTGCCCAGGGTCACACAGCTAGTAAGTGTCAAATGTTTGGTCTGAGTCTGGATTTGAACTCAGGTCCTCCTGACTTCAAGGCCGGTGCTCTATCCACTGCATCAGCTAGCTGCCCCATATTTCTGTATTTTTGTGTTCCAAATTTGTCTTTGAAAAGATTCTTCATGATAGATTCTTTTTTTTTAAATTTGCTAATACTGTGCTTTTTAATTGCACAAAGAGCTCTAATTTCTGATATAAATTCTTTCAAATTTTATAGATTTCATTTCTCTTTGGAACCATTCCATGATTTCTCATTGTCTCATGTGCTCTGGTGAGTCCAGAGGAGTCTTTCACTAGTCAGTTTATTTTCCTTTGTATTATAATATTTGTTAAGACCTAAGTATTCTCATTAAGATTTTATTCACTCTTTCTTTGAATTTTAGGATACTCTGTTGATTTATCTGTTTGTGAGTTGGGCTTTTTTTGAGGTATATATACATACATACATATATATATACACACATATATATGGCTTGAAACACTATCTATATCTAACTATCTATCATTTAGATCCTTTATATATTATCCTACCTTACTTTCTGATACTTCTCATTTTGCTTATGAATATATGTCCAAGACTGGGCTACAAAGTTGCCTCAGAGCCCTTGTGATTATTTATCATGTCTGTCCCCAGTGAGTTTTACTGTCTACTTTACTTCAGTTCTGGAGCTACCTCCTAGACTGCAACCCCATCAGATTCTTCTACTCTTCTCTTTTATTTTATGTGAGTGAATAAAGTCACTCCACTTTATTTTACAGCTCTGCTGAGAGTCTGCAAAGTCTAAATTCCATGGAACAAGATATGTCCTCCTATTCCCTCCTTCCTTCCCCCCCTTTTTTTTAGGTGAGGCAATTGGGGTTAAGTGACTTGCCCAGGGTCACACAGCTAGTAAGTGTCAAGTATCTGAGGTCAGATTTGAACTCAGGTCCTCCTGACTTGCAGGGCCAGTGCTCTACCCACTGCACCACCTAGTTGCCCCATCCTACCCCTTTTTAAGGCTTCAGGGTGTGTGTTGTCTTTCCCCATTACATTCTAAGCTCCATGATTGCAGGGACAATCTTCCTTCCTGTCTTCCTGTCTTCCTGTCTTCCTGTCTGTCTTCCTGTCTTCCTGTCTTCCTCTCTTCCTCTCCTCTCCTCTCCTCTCCTTTCCTTCCTTCCTTCTTTCCTTCCAACTCCAGGGCTTAGCACAGTATTTGACAAAGAAAAAAATGGGCTCTTAAGAAGTGTTTATGGAATTCAGTTGTATTGAAATTGAATCTGCTCCTTCTTAAAGCGTAAGGGTAAAGCAAAGGTTTTTCAGCAGTGTGTCCCTAACCTACATCGGGCCCGGCAACAGCCTACAAATTGACTTCTACTCTCTTGATACCACAAGCACATGGAGTATGGTAGCAGAGGGGTGCTGAGTAAGCACTCTAAATATTATAATTCTCTGGTATTAATTCCTAAGTATTTTTATTTTATTCGGATTCTCTCTTTGCTTTTAAATGTATTCAACAGCATTCATGTCCGTCATTTATACAACTAAACTCATTAGCTTCCTTCCTAAATTTGTTCTTCCTTCTGAGAATAAAATTTCTGTCTGTATTAGAGTCATTCACTTGATCTCACAGAGTTATCATACATGCAAATTACTTGAAAAAACATTAAATTACTACATAAATACTAGCTGTTACCATTTATTATTATTATTTGGAGTTAATGTTTACTATTTGTTTCCATCACCTTTATATCCTAATTGGTTACCAAATTTTGTTGAATCTATATATCTAATCCAATTTAATCCAAAAAGCATTTATTAGGATGTACCATAAGCAAGGCACTGTATTAGGCCTTGAGGGTAAGAAACTAAAACAAAAATCAATTTCTACCCACAAAGAACTTACGTTCTATTGAGAATGATAATAGCTAACATTTAGAAAATCCATTCTAGCAGGGCAGCAAGTTGGTGAAGTAGAAAAAGCTGGCCTGGAAGCAGGAAGACCTGAGTTCAAATGTGGCCTTAAACACTTACCAGCTATGTGACCCTGGGCAAGTCATTTAACCATGTTTGCCTCAGTTTCCTCATCTGTAAAATGAGCTGGAGAATGAAATGGCAAACCACCTCAGTGCCTTTGCCAAGAAAATCCCAAATAGGGTCACAAAGAGTCAGACGCTACTGAACAACCAAAAATATAGTGCATTAAGATTTGTAATAAATGTATATATTGATAATAATAACACTAATAGTAACTAAAATTCATATAACACTTTAAGGTTTATAGAACACTTTCCATCTATTAGCTCATATTATTCTCACAACAAGCTTGTGAGATAGCAGTTCTTATTTCCATTTTATAGATGAGGGAACAGGCTGAGAAGTAATGTGACTTGTCTATGGTTGCACAGGTAAGTGTCGGAGGCAGAATTTGAATCCAGGGCTTATTCAGCCCAAGGCTACCACTCTATAAATCTCTATAAAATTCTATAAATCTGTCTATCTATCTACCTATTTATCTATTTCATCTGAATCTCACACCAAAAGTGTATGAGGTAAGTATTTTAAAATATTTTTTCTCATTTTACAGATGAGGAAACTGAGGTTAAGAGAGATTAAATTACTTGTTCATGGTCACACAGTGAGTAAGTATGACAGCTGAATCTGAACTCAGTTTTTCCTTATACCAAGTCTAACACTATAGAGAAACCATATTACTTTTCACCTGTGAAATCTGTATTCCATCTTTCCCTGTTTTAGTCTCCACTTCCCTACCAACAAATAGATATCAATTATCAACTGTGTAGAAAATTACCAATAGTTTCCCAATAGGTCTTCTTACCTTAATTCTCTTTCTTTGACCACCTACTCCTCTCCTCCCAAAAAGCCGTTGTTCCTACCTTACCAGAATAATCTTTCTTACACATAGACATGATCATGCTACTTCTGTGTTAAAAAAAGATCCTGCATACTCTGTATTGCATTCAATTTCCAGGTACATACCCAACTGATAAAGCAAAGTACACCTATGTTTGTACAGATAACTTCCATTAAAGTGAATATGCATTTTCCCCAAAAAATATCTTTCTTCTCCAAAAAGTGATTATGGAAGAGCAGCAGGATGTGATGAAATGCAAATGTGGGATCTTATTTAAAATTTGTAAAGGAAGGCAATCAGAAGAGGAGATAGGACAGGATTGCATTTGAGCAATTGTGCAGTGCTAAGCTGCTTGCTACAGAAAAAACTTTACTCCTTGAACACCGATACTTTCTCATTAATGATAGTTTACATTTACATAGCACTTTAAGGTTTTAAAAGACTTTTATATATGTCATGTGATCTTCAGAACAACTCTGTGAAGTAGGCTCTATTATTATCCCCATTTAACAGATAAACTGAGGCTGAGAGGGTTAAATGTCTTGCCCATAATCACAAAGCTAATAACTATTTGAAACAAAATTTAAACTCAGGTTTTCCTGACTTTTGTTCTATAACTTCATCCACTAAGCAGAATGCCTGGAACATATTTACAGAATTAGTGTGATGTGGTAACCAAAAAAATAAAAACAATCTAAAACAATATGAAACTCCATGAAAAAAGGTATATTTTCCAAGGAAACAATTTTCTCACTCTACTCTCTACCTGGTCAAAATGTGTGGAGAATTGTGTTCAGTTCTGGGAACCACACATTGTAGGAAGAATATTGATAAATGAGAAAGTTAATTGTGGAATTAAACAATCCCAGAAGAATCTTAGAATTTTAGAGTTAAAATTGACTTCGTGAAGCAAACTGTGGACCATTCCGACTAGTCCAACCTGAATGGAGCAAGAAGTCTCTCTACAATAAACCTAATGTGTTTATTCAGTCTTTACTTGAAGACCTCCATTAAGTAGAAACTTTCCCTCCTGAAGCAGCTTGTTTTACTTCTGGATAGTTCTATGATTAGGAATTTTTTTCTTTGCATCAAGTCAAAATCTGAGTCTTTACAACTTCTACTTCTTGCTAATAATTTGTCCTATGAAGCTTAAAAAAATATTAATCCCTTTTGCACAGTTATGGTGAACTGAATCCTCACCCATTTATCAAGTTCCAAAATTTGAAGATAGTCATCATGTTCCTTTTAATATTCTTTCAATGAAAGCCTTTGTTTTGAACTAATTGTGTCAGCTGGTTTATTATTAAAAGGGAATGAGTAGCCAGGGACTAATGACCCACAAGTTTAAGAGTGTATGTTCATAAAGTACCCTGAACCCAAGGTAGTCACTTTTCTTGGGGAACCTAACTTGTGAGTTTGAGTTGGTGTTAACTTGAAGAACTCTCTCTCTCTCTCTCTCTCTCTCTCTCTCTCTGTATGTATGTATGTGTTTGTGTGTGTGTGTATATATATGTATGTGTATATATATATATATGTTTATGTCTATGCCTATGTATACATACATACACACATACATACACAAACATATATAAGATAGATAGATGGATAGATACAGATATATTCAAGTTGGTGTTAAGTTGAGAAACCTTGAAGAACTCTGTGTGTGTGTATTTATGCCTCTGATGATTTCACAAAGGAAAGTTAACTGCTGAATTTTAGCCTTTAAGTTTAATAAGTGTGAACTTAGACAACTGATTGATATGATTTTAAAAATCAAAACAATGGAAATGAAATCAATTTTTTTTTGGTTGTTACTGAATTTTCCAGATTTTTTTTCCAATTTGGCTGTAGAAACAAATCCAAATTAGCTGAAAATTATATCACCTTCCTTTACACTTTGAATGTGCAGATGTCTCTAAGTAGAATTTGTGTGTTTTAGTTAAAAAATAACTATTTGCACACAAACTCTGTGTAAATAGTTAAATAAACAACAATAACAACAACAAATAATCCACTTACTATTTTTTCTTTCACTGTTTCCACCTGATCAGGTTTTACTGATGGTGCTCTCTGTGGCCTGGCATCTCTTTTCTGGGTCTTCTCCTCTTCTTTGGGCGGACTCTGGGGAATTCTAGGCTCTGAATCCTCTGCCTTGGGCTCGGCTTGTTTTTCCTCGTGTACTTCCTTAGCAGGTACCTGGTCTAGGGATTTCTCTTTAGCAGCTGGTACCTCAGGTTTCAATATCTCTTTCAACTGTCCCTCTTTGGGCTTTTTTCCCAAATCATCAGGGTCTATAATCTTGTCTTTCAATTTGCTTTCCTCATGCTTTTCATCTGTGCTTATCAATGGGGGCTTCTTTTCAAGTGAAGGTATTTCTTTTACTTTTTCATCTTCTTTTTGTGCTTCTTGTTCTTTCTTTTTTTCTGTTACTTGGACAGGCATTGAAGATGTTTTGGGGGATATTTGCTCTGTCACAGGAGGCTGACTCTGAGGCACAGCTGATAGTTTCTGTACCATCTCTGAAGAAAGAGGTGGGACTGAAGGTGGCATTTTGCCCATATCCCCAAGTTGTCCTGATATTGCTCTCTGGGTCTGGCAGTTTAAACATAGCCATTCTTGAACCTAAAAAAGAAAAAAAAAAGAATGCATGACTGAATAGGTTAAGCATATAAAATTGAAGCATAATGAAGCCATAGATTAATAATAAACATCACTCCACATTTTTCCTCCCCTTTCCGGTGGATGAAGGAAGACATCTCCTGAGCAAATAGGACACTGGCTATTTGAAAAGTTGGCAATACTTAAGAGATTTTGACATCTCAGAAGCAGGTTTTATGTTTTGTAGACAACTATTCTTATTTGAAGGCTGTAAATAATTTAATAGGACTTTATGTAGAAATATAATATGCAACTACTATGCCTCCTACTAGTGAATTGGTAAATTCCTACTAGATGGAACTGTGAATGTGTTTCTCATTGGGTTTTTCTCTTTTTGGGGGGGAGATTATTTTAAATAATTTTTTATTGACATCATTTATTTTTGTCATCTATATTTCCTAGAGTATTCATCTTCCCTTCCACTCCTAGAGAGCAATCCCTTATAACAAATGATAAACAAGGAGGAAAAAAGGAGAAAAATGATTTTAATCTCTATCCCATTTGAGCTTATGAAATGACTTTCATTGAATTCAATGCAAATGAATTAATAAAATTTTCACAATAGTAAGGTACATAGAGGAGAATTATGTATATCCAGAGGCATAACTATAATTTTTAAATTAAATAAAATAATACTTTTTATGAAGATCAATTTATTTCCCGGGACTATTTTCCTTTTTTTTTTATTGTGTATGAAATGCCTGTGTGTGCATTCAGTTTATGTATATGTAGATATGTACATATATACATACATATTCATACACACCAGAGCTAGTGAGTGTCTGAGGCTAGATTTGAACTCAGGTCCTTTTGACTTAAGAGCTGGCATTCTATCCTCCTTGCCACCTAGCTGCCCCAGCATACATGCACACCTGTGTATATGTGTGTATATATGTATATACACATGTAAACACAAACAAATGCACATGTGTGTATATGAATGTATATACACATGTATACATATACATACATATAGCCACTATACACTCACATACACACATATAGGTATGAATGTGTTTGTGTATGAATATGTGTATGCTGGGACAGATAGGTGACACAGTGGTTAGAGTTCTGGCTCTAAAGTCAAGACGACCTAAGTTCAGATCTGGCCTCAGACACTTACTAACTAACTGTGTGATCATGGGTAAGTCACTTAACTCTGTTTGCCTCAGTTTCATCACCTATAAAATGAGCTTGAGAAGGAAAATGGCAAACTACTCCAATATCTTTGCCAAGAAAACTCCAAACGGAGTCACAAAGAGTTAGATACTACTTGAAATGACTGAACCACAACAAATATATGTATGCAAACTATATATGGCATTTAAATATAATGCCATATAAACAATATATTTAATACACACAGGACTATTTGAAGTGAGAACTATGGTATATGAAAAGCAGCATGGCATAGTGCAGTACTTCTTAACCTTTTTCCACTTGTGACCCGACTCCTTCAGCACTGTGGGTAGTGACCCACAGTTTAAGAAGCATTGGTGCATAGAGAGCTGGGCTTGAGGCCAGGAAGACTAATATTCAAGCATTGCTTCTGAAACATAATGTCTGCACCACCCTGGGCAATTCACTTAGCTGCCTACTGCTCTAGGCAATTCTTTAAGACCATACGTTCATACTCCCAAAGGGCTATGAAAATGTGCGTACCTTTTGACCCAGCAATAACACTTCTAGGGCTGTATCCCAAAGAGATCATAAAAATGGAAGAAGGACCCACATGTACAAAAATATTTATAGCAGCTCTTTTTGTGGTTGCCAAGAATTGGAAATTGAGGGAATGTCCATCAATTGGGGAATGGCTGAACAAGTTGTGGTATATCAATGTAATGGAATACTATTGTGCTATAAGAAATGATGAAAAGGCAGACTTCAGAAAAACATGGAAAGACCTGAATGGACATTTCTTAGTACCTACTCTATCTGTGGCACTGTGCTAGGTACCAAGAGCACAAATTCAATGCAATCGAACATTGAGTACTTATTATATGTAAGGCATTGTATGCCAAGACCTATGGACAAAAGCAAAATTAAAAACAGTCCCTGGCAATAAGAAAATACATTCTATTAGAAAAATGTACCTGTCCTCAAGAAGTTAATCATATAATCATGGAGAAGACAGATGAAACTAAACTAAATACTGCACAATTTAGAATATTTTTTTACTGGATAGGAGAGGTCAAAATGACACTACTAAGTCTGAGAAGAAGGGGTCACTTCTATTTGGGGTAAGGAGGAGAATGAGGGAAGACTTCAAGGAGGACCTAATGACACCTGAACTGGGATTGGCAGGAAGAGAAATATTTTATTTTATTTTATTATTTTATTTTTCTAATTGAAGAGAAATATTTTAAAAGGTAGAAATATATAGTAATCTACTCTTGGTATGCACAAATTTATAATTTTAAAAAGGGCAGGGTGAAATTGGAGGAAAAAAAGTGAATACTTTAGTTTGTCTAGAACACTGATTATAGGAAGGATCAAAGAAGGAAATAAGCACTTCATAAATGTGTAATTGGTTCCAGGAACTGTGCTAAGTGCTTTAGAAATATTACATCATCTGGTCTTTACAACAGCCATGGGAGGTAGGTGTTATTCTCCTCCACATTTTACAGTTGAGCACACCGAGGAAGACAGAGGTACAGTGAGTTGTCCAGAGTCTCACAGCTAGTAAGTACCTGAGGTTGGATGTGAACACAGGTCTTCCTGACTCCAAGCCCAGTGTTCCATCTCCTGTGCCTCCTAGCTGTTTCCATGAAGGGAGAGTTTTAAAGGTTTTTGCCTTTTTTTGTACTCCCAAGAGCCTTATTAGTGAAATATAATTTGACCCTTTCTTCGTAACCCCAGATCTTAGCATGGTGCCCGTTAAATAACACACTTAATAGATGCTTGTTGCTTGGCCAAAATCAGGTTGTGAAGGGTCTTGAATATCAATCTGAGTTAGTATTTTATTTAGTAGATTTTTGAGGGGCCACTGATGGCTTTGGAGTAGGGTCCTGGTGGAACCAATCCTATGTAATAAGGAGCATGGCTTGGGCAATTATATGAAAGGAGGATTAGAGCACAGCAAGGCCACTTTTTTCTCTCTAGTTCCATCACAATAAAGGTCATGAATTATTCAAACTTCCACAAGTGGTTGCAGAATCAAATGCTACTGCTAGGGCCTTACTGTCTCTCAGTTTTCTGTACATTTGTTTATTCAATTGTTTTCTGATGAATTAATTCTGGTAATTCCTTACATATTTATGACAAATGCCAAGTTAGGTTAAATAATCTGCACCTGATAACTATACTTCCCATTATTCCTTTTTTGTCAAGGTCCTTTTTTTTTTAAAGGCCAAGACCATACTAATAATTTTCTATGAAGATTGATTTCTTTTGTGGGGAGCTTAAAAGAGGAACAAATTCTAATCTACTTATTTTAATTCCTAATTGTGAATTATTTGGGGATTATGCTGTTAGTAATATAAAAATAAGTCTCTGACTTCAAGGAGCATAGGTATTACTGGGGGGAGAAGGGGCCTGCAGGAGGGGGGCAACAAATATATAAGAGGCAGGATGACCCTGTGGAACTAATGTTAGTTTTGGAATCAGAGTACTTGTGTTTAAATCCATACTCTGTAACATATCTGCACGACCTTAGGCATGTGATCTTGGTCACATCACCCCTCTAGGCCTCAGTTTGCTTATCTGCAGAATGAAGAGGTTAGACCAGATCACTTATAAGGTCTATTCCAACTATAAACCTATAATGCCAAGTGAATAAAATATAAACTATATCAGCAATTGAAGGAAAGAGAAGCTGGAAAGGTAAGGAAAGGCACGATGTAGGAGGAAGAATTTGGGTGGTAACATGAAAGGGACTAGAAATTCTAAGGTTCAGAAGTAATAAGGGAGAATATTCTACAGATGGTAGAAAGTCATTGCAAAGGCATAGACTCAGGAGATGGACAGTCATACAGAGAAACATAAATAGACAAGGTTTATTAGAACATAGAATGGATATGAGAGACTTCCAGAGAAACTGGAGATAACAAGAAGCCAAGAGGTTTCTTGGGTGGAGCAGTGCTATAGTCAGAACTGTGCATTACGAGGAGCAATATGTTAGCTGTGTGAAGGATGAACTAGAAATATGAGCTCCATGAAGGCCAATTAAGAAGCTGTACTGCTAGAGTCCAGATCTATATAACTTGGCAACTTATGGGTAAGGAGACAGAAAGGAATGAGAATGAAGAGTCTAGGATGACTGGGAGTTTGGGACAATGGTGCCCTCAATAGAAATATGGAAGTTAGGAAAAGGGGTGGGATTCAAAGAAAAGATAACTAATTCTGGACAAGTTGAGTTTGAGATGCTTACAGGACATCAAGGTGCATATGAATAGAAGACAGGCGATGAGATGTGACTTCATAAAGTTGAAATTCTGATATGAAGACTTATGATTCATCTGTATGTAGAAGATAATTGAATAGATTCAAACTAGTGAGATCACCAAAAGAGAGAAATAAGGGAAATATAGCCAAAGACAGTGCTCTGACATGGGAATTGGAGGAGAGACAAAGATGATGATGACCTACAAAAGGAGAATGAGGAGATGTCAGATAGGTAATAGTCACACCAGTACAGTATAGTGTCTTGAAAATCCAAAGTAGAGAGATTATCCAGGAAGGCAGGTGTGGGGTTATAAATAAGTTAATAGAGTCAAATATTGCAGAGAGGTCAAGAAGGAGAACTGAGAAGAGGTCATTGGGTTTAGTAATTGAGAGATGATTGATGAATTTGGAAAGAGTCTTTTCAGTCTAGGGATGGGGGTCATAAGCCATATTGCAAGGTGCTAAAGAGTGGTGAGGAAACCAAATCAGAGTATAAATGGCCTCTTCTAGTAGTCTGGCTGTGAAAAGGAAGGGAGCTCTATAGGGCAATAGCTTGAGTAGGATGGCATAGAGAAGGGAGG